TCTCTCGCTGTTCGGCAAAGCGCCAAAGATGGGTTTAAAGACAGGGGTGGCGGTGGACACAGCAGCGGTCGTGGTGGGCACAGCAGCGGCTGTGGTTGTTGCCGGCTGGCTGGCAGGAGGAGCGTTCAGCATCCCGAAAAGGACGCTCGGCTTCGGGAAGGAGGGAGGCTTGCTGGGGGTCTGGCCCAGCTCCGTGAACGCAGCAGGTGCCAGGCTGCTGGAGATCTGCGCCTCCAAGGCAGGGGGGGCAGTGGGGGCAGCGGTGCTCAACACGGGCACGGGCTTGGTGTCAGCAGAGGTGGCAGGCAGAGAACTCGACTCCAGCGATACAGCAGGAGCGGGCGGGCGGGCGGCCGACGCAGGCGGCTGGGACGCTACCAAGTGGAGTCTGGAAAGGGGAAGAGAGCGTATTTATGGACAGGGGTTCACCTACAGCCAGCCCTTCTGCCAGGCAGCCACCCTGCTGCTGCAGAGGCTCCCAGAGCAGCACCCGTCCGTACCAGACGGACCCAGCCCTCCAGGCTACCGCAGCTCCCAAGAGGGCCACAGGCTCCATGTCCCCAAACTCGCCCCCCTCAAGACCTCCCGCCAGCTCCGCTGCCAGCAGCGCTTTTGAACAGGGAGTTTTGCCACGTGCCTCCTGCTCTGCTGACCCTCCTCCTCCTCACCTGCTGGCGTGGGCGCAGCCTGGCTGCTCTGCATCTTCTTCAGGCTGTCCAGGAGCGAGTTGGAGGTGGCCGCGGAGGGAGCTGTTGAGGCAGGCACAGGCCCCGGGGAAGTCACGGCAAAGGCCAGCGGCCTGGCCGCGGGAGCAGTCTCTGCAGTGGTGCTGGGGACCGCGTCTACTGGGAAGGAGCAAGAGATCAGGACACACAACTTGCTGTAGGGCGCTACCCCAGCGAATAGGGAAACTGCATCAACGTCCCACAGCTCTGGCCCTGGGGAACCTCACCCATCACCCTGGAGACTCTGGGACACGAGCTCTCCTGAGCCCGAAGGCACTAAGAGCATCCCCAGACCCAAGGACCAGGCAGGACTGGCCCAGGAGCTTCCCCAGCCTGCGCTACCCAGACACCCCACTGCCCTGCCAGCCCTGGCTCTGGGTTTCTACTCCTTGCCGTCCCCTCCCTGTTCCCAGTCTGCCCTTACCAGCCTTATCCTCCAAGACTTTGTTGAACCACTGCAACGCTGCCTTCTTCTCCGCATCCAGGTCCTCCGACGTGATGGAGTAGCCCAGCTGAGGCGGTGGGGGCTGCCAAGAGAGAGCAGCAGCTTAGCTCCTTCTCAGGGAAGCCGGCAGAGCTTCTCTGAACGTGTGGTGAAGGCTGGCCGTCGCGAGACCCGTGAAGCAGGTGGTTCTGCCACAGCACGCTACCGCGGAGCTCCGATCCCCATTCATTTTGGCCCCCGGCTTGGCGCTGAGGGCACAGCAGGCCTTCCCCAGGCCATTACCTGGTCCGGCAGCAGGCAGCACAATCACGCACAGCCCACCAGACACTGGGGCTGGGGATAGCGTCACTTCCCACTCGGCCAAGGACGGGGCCTCCTTCCTGAGGGCAGGCAGGTCAGTCTCCCCCCAGCCCTGCAGAAATTGCAGTGAGCACATTCTATCGCCAGAGGAGGGCAAAAGGGGCTGCGAGACAGCGACGTACCAGCGCCAGCTGGTCTCCCTGGCGAGACGACAGCAACTGGATCTTCCGCTTGCGTTTCCCGCTGCTCTCCGACGCGGATGGCGGGCTCAGGGAATTCTGCTTCTTCCGCACCGGCGTCTCCGCCACTACAGAAGGAGACAAGTCAGGACCAACTCTGGGCAGAGGAGACGTTTGGCTTGTACCAATGGGGTTGTCCCTTCCGACTCCTCTCCAGATGACCCACGCCAGAAGGCAGAGCCATGGCTTTAAGCCGAGGACGAGGCTGCGATGCCCTGGGAGAGCAGCTGGCTCCAGCTCATCCCGGGGCAGTCTGTTACAAGAGCCTGCTGGGGCTCCGCAGGGCAGCGGCCCCCTCCCACCTCCGCGGATGGTCCTTGCACGCTTGCCTACCCGAACCACAAACCACGCAAACTCCACGGGCCACACGCAGTGCTGCACCACGGGACCCAGGTACCCATCTGTGATGGGCACAAAGAACATTGTCTCCATCTTAGCTGAGGAAGAGCTGGAATAAGCTCAGCCTGGAATTGGATCAGGGTGCTACTTGTACCACAGCAGATCTGGCCCCAGGGCTGACACCTGGACCCGTGCTGGCCTGGGGGCTGGCGCTCCCCATGCAGGCCAGCTCCCACACAGACACTGCCAGCACCCCTTGCTCATCACCTGGAAATCCTGTTAGGGCAGTCACTACACACAGCAGAGGTGCCACTGCCCTGGGAGCAGCACATTCCTAGCTTCCAGGTGCCATCTCGAGCCAATCCCACCTGCAGACCTCAGCCACCTCCTTGCTCACACCGGTGGCCCGTCCAAGCCTGGCACAGAGCTGGGGCCCACCTACACTCACCTTTCTCTGTCTGCAGCTCCTTGTCCGATTTCACTGGAGTGGAAGCGTTGGAGCGATGCATCTCCTCTTCCCTGTGCAAGTAGGAGACAGACAGTTAGGGTCAACCCCAGGCTTGGCCTCGTCCCCAGGGAGCAGGGCAAGACCGGACACGCTACAGACTCCCACCAGCATCGCTGGTGTGTTTCTTTGTCTCCACCAAACAGCAGACCTCGGGACAACAGCCTTGCCCTCACCGTACCAGCTGCTCCTCCAGGCAGAGGAGCCATTCCCCTCCCCAGGACCCCAGCTCGGTTGGGCTGCCGAGCCCACACACCCTCTGCAGGACCCACCAGCTTCAGCGCGGCACTCGGGGGTCCCGGACGGGAGCCGTTGCCCCTGCCTTGGACCCACCCCGTTGCCAGGGCAGGTGGTTGTGTCGGTTTTAGTTCTGACATAAGCTCAGGTCCTTCTCTGAGCCGGGAAAGAGGAGAACAAGGGCCTGTGCTCCAAGGCAGGCGCTAAAACACAACCCTGCTGCAGCTCCCATGAATTGATGCTGAGGAGATGGCAAAAAAGATGAGGCTTTGGGCAACCTGGGCTAGTGGAGGGTGTCCACTGCCCATGGCAGGGGGTGGAACTAGATGAGCTTTGAGGTCCCTTCCAACCCAAACCATTCTATGAAAATTTGGGCTTGCCTCTTCCCAAGGTTTCAGTCGCTTGAGGCCATGCCAATGCCAATGCCACGAGGCAACGTCACCTCTGCAGCAATCTGAGCCCTTAAATCTCCAACCCGGCCCAGGAGCAGGGCAGGGGTGGTGCAGCTGAGCGCTGCTGCTGGAACCACAGTGTAACAAGGCAGCAGGGATGCAAATCAACACAAGGGGATTTCCACGCCGGCGGGTGACCCAGGAGCCAAGTCTCAGAACGGGGTCTGGACCATCCCGGCTCCGGTGGAGAGCCAGGCACCGGGGTGGGTGGGGAGGCGGCTCTTCTCCTCCTGTCTGCCACTGACGACTGGGCACTCGCCAGGCAAGCGGCTAGTTACCTGGCTTTCTTGAGAGGCCACTCCGGTGTCTGGGAGCGGGAGGATGCTGGGCTGGACAGCGAGGACATGCTCACACCACTTCTCTTCCACAGCTGGAATGCAGATGGAGACCAGCAGTAACTCAGTACGAGGGTCGGCAGGGAGCACAGCCTCCCACCCTTCTGCTTGCCGGCAGGTTAAACGCCACCTCCCAGGGCCGTGGCTAACGAGCCCAGAGCCTCTCTTGCTTCAACACCACTGAACTCCCCTCCACGTCTGGTGGAGTGCAAAGCCTGGCCACACTGAACTGAATCTGCTCCGGGAGCAAGCGGCCTCCAGGCTCGTTAGAGGCTGGATTAAACGAGAGGACAGGGAGGGAGGACGCAGCTGGTCAGATGTTGGCTCTTGCCTTCCCGCAGCACAGGCGGAGGCTGCTTGGCCGCCTTCGACACCCTCGTGTGCACAGGGCTGCTCTGGCAGGAGCAGGCCACCTCCTCGCCAGGAGCTCAGAGCCGACGGATCCCACCTCAAGGATTTCAGACTTGCCCCAGCCAGAGGAAACGCTTCCCTACCAATACATCCTGGAGGAAACCTTTCCCTGCACAGACTGCAGAGCTCCATTAGCCACGGCTACAGCCCACCGTCACATCTGCAAGCCCGACCCGGGATGTAAGCAGTGTTTTATTGCAGCTCAGCAGCTGCTGAAGGGACGTGGGTCAAAGTGGGAATGCACAGCTCCCGTACTTGCTGACTCCAGCTGAAAAGATGGCAGCGCAGCAAAGCGATTTTTTTTTCTTTCCTTTCACCTGGATCTATCCACCCCAGCAGACTGGCCAAGGCTGAGTAGGGAGGGGAAGCAAAGCCTCCTTCTTGGTTTGGTGTAAAACAAGCCCTGCAGCAGGACAGCTCAGCCTGGCGACTCCCCCAGCAGCATGCACCGAAGGACAAGTAACATCGCTGCCTGCTGCTGCCAGCCCGGCAGCCTGCCTAACCCAAAGGAGATGAAACCGCGCTGGAGACTCCCCGCAGCACTCGCTGCCAGGCACCCAGCGACACTGCGCTCCTCCTGTGAGCCCAGCGTTCCAGTTACACGGGGCGATCCCCGGTGCTGCCTTTGGCAGGGTGTTCCCTACCTGCGAGAGGCCCCGGCTGGAGCTGTAGGAGCTGGCGATGGCATTGCGGATGGAGCTGGGGATCCCGCCAGCGTACGTATTGTTCAGGGAGCTCATGGAAGAGGTGCGTGACCTCTTGTTTGAGCAGTCATCCGGGCAGTGTGAGACAAGGCCCCTCTTCAGAGAGCCAGGCCTGGAGGAGGTTAAAGAAGATTTTATGAGTTCCCCACCACTCTGCCCACAGGTCCTTTAAATGCAGAGTGGGTGGAGGAAAGCAACCCCGCTCCTTCTCACAGCACAGGGCCTGGAAATAAGCCTGAGCAGCGGCACAGCCCTAACAGCCGCCGGCCTGTGCTCAGGGTGACTGAACGCACAGCCACAGCCTCTCTTGCTCTCCCCTGAAGCTGGGCTCCGCAACCAAAAGCCAAGTGCCTTTTCCAGAGCCCGCAGGCTTTCGGACCCCCCTCCCAGCAGTTGCTTTTGGCCGGATGGGCACTTACTTGGGTACGAGAGAGGCGGGGGCACCGTTGGCTACCAGCGGCTCAAACGCTGACTGCCCACTTCCACTGCTATCGTGGCGCCTGCGGGAGAGACGGCAGAAGCCTGTGGTAGTGTGGAGGCAGCAGAGGCAGGGGCTGCCCTCCAGCCTCGGGAGAAGACCCCTTCCAGGCGGGCTCAGCACTGAGAAAGCAAAAATCTTGCTTTTTCCTTGTCACCCAATACCCCGGGACAGAGGTTTTCCCCATCCACATCCTGCTGCAGATTTTCTCTCCAGCTGGTCCCGTCCTCACTGCCTCTCACCCGGAGCTGCCTCCTCCCAAGCACCAGCAGCTCCACCAGCTGCCTGCTGGGCAGAGTAGTTCTGATGTAATGAAATCTTTGCTCAAATACATTATTCCAAGCCAAAACATTTCAGAGAGTCTCAGTAGCTCATTTCTGGAATGGACCTGAGCTCCGAAGCTCAGATCACCTACCTGTTCCTAGCCAGTGCCCTGGACTGTTCAAGTCAGAAACCAAATCGCCCTCCCCACAATGATGCAGTGAAGATCTGAAGGCTGAAAGTCTTAAAGCAAACCCTGCCGCGAAGCAGAGCTGGAGGTGTACCCTCAGCCCTTTCACTTAGCCCAGGCGCTTCCCTCGAGCTCGAGCACGCTGACCCCATCGCACAGGCGATCCAGCGCTCTCCAGCTGACGCAGGCTCCTTTCTGCCCTCAAAGGTCGCAGGATTTTCTGCCTACAAGCATTCTTCGCGCTTGCCAGGCTTTAATGCCTTCAAAATTGGCTTTTGTGGCAGAGCTAGCTATTGACACGTTAAAAGAATAGAATAAAGAAAAAAACCAAGCTGATTCTGTCTGTGCACCCATCCTGCTCAGCTCTTGTGGGGCTCAGATTCACCGAGCCGAGGTAACGGTTCAAAGGCAGAGGGAGATCCAGTGCCGGAGGAGAGGATGGCATGCTGTGCCGCAGCAGGAAGGCGGCCGGCGGCTCCCTGCAAACCGCCGCCCATCCCGCTGCGCTCTCGGGGCCGCTCTAGCAGCAGCCCCAGCGCAGCACGCAGGACAACGCACCCGACGCGCTCTTCTGTGGTCTCTTGGCTCCCCTGCTCAAGCCCAGGCAGGCAGCCCCAGCACGTGAGGGGCAGAGGGGCATGAGGCGAACAGCCTCCGCGTACGCAAGCGGGAAGGACAAAAACCAGGAGGGGAGAACGGTGACGCAATGCTGTGCCCAGGCCGTTAGAAAGGTCCCAGTAGACCTCGGCACCCAGGATTTCTGCCTTGTCCCTCCCAGAGCGCTGTCAAAGACGCTGCACCCTCCTTTCTTCAAGTTCAGAGCTGGAAATCGCTGACCTTGACTAATAAAAGCAGAAGATAAGTCTCTCTTGTTTACGCTCGTGTTTTTAGCTCCTTTTGCTAGCTACAGCGCGCAGAGGAAGCACACAGATCTTTTAAAGCGTGATGCTTCCACCTAGGGCTGTAAGACTTGGGGATCCCGTCTCTCCTGGAAACCTAGGGCTGGCTGAGGGATGAAGATGCTGAGCCTACAGCAGATACCAGCATTTCCCACCACATTTCCCCAGTCTGCAAACCCCTGTGATGCCAGAAGCCACTTCCCCGCCAGGGAGCCCTGCCGGGCTTCCCCAAACCACATCCCAGCCTCTCCTATCCCCAGCAACGCAGGGGAACACGCTTGACCCGCAAGCTTGCCCATACAAAAACCTAAACCACATCCCTTTGATCTCAAGGACAAAACGAAGTCTTAGAGGACTTTCCGACACAGCCCAAAGGTCTGGGTGATGGGGTGTGCTTCCTCTCTGCGGTTCATTTCCCAGAGCACTTTTCCAACCCAGACTCTCGGTCGTACCGGGCTCTGGGACACATCCCATTTGTCACCACTGAAGCGCTAACCCCGTTTACGACCTTCCCAACACGCCGACTGTGACCCGGACTGCTGGCTTATTACCTTCTCTTGCTCTCCTGATCGTTCCCAAAAGCCTGGTCCTCTTCCTCCTCCTCCTCCTCCTCCACAGCCCTCTTCCTGCTCTCCTTGATGGCATTCAGCACGGTCTCTTTCGCACACGGGTCTAGGCTGCTGTTGGCCGGGAAGGCCACGGGTGAGATCAGCTGCTCCAGGCTGCGAAACGAAGCAAAGCAAGACAAGGCGTTAGGCAAGCCGGGGCCCGCAGCACGAGGCTCCCCCCACCCGGTGCCCGGTTGCCCCCACGGA